AAAGTATTTCGCAAGACAATTGTCAATTCTCAATTCTGTCTGTCGAAAGACTAACTGAAAAATTTGCCAACGAGGAGATTTTGGCGTTATTCTGTTTGTGTTTTAGCAAACAGTTTTTCAAAATTAAATAAAAAAAAAATTCTTATTAAAACGTTAAAAACTAGAAACTAAGTAAAAAAAAAAAACAAGTTAATAAAATAAGTTTCTAAAAATTAACTGATATTCAAAAATATGTTTCCCCTTGAAACAATCAAATCTAAAGATCAAATTGAAAATTAAAGAATAGTAATAAAAAATAATACTAAAATAAGTTTCCACAAAATTTAACCAATTTAAAAAATATGTATCTTTCTTAAATGATTAAATTTTAAAATTAAAAAATATTTAATTCAAAAAATAAATTAATTAAATAAAAAAGCAAATAAGTTCCTTACAATTAAATGAAGTTTTAAATATTATTGTATCGTTTCTATATTTGTGTTTTAGCAATATATTTCTCAAAATTAAATAAAATAAAAAAATATATGTATGTTCTTCTTTTTAAAAAGAAATTTAGAAATTAAAATAAAATTAAATTAACTAAGAAAGCATTAATAAAATAAGTTTCTAAAAATTAAATGATATTAGAAAATATCTTTTTAAAGCAATTGTATCTAAAAATTAAATTAAAAGAGAATCAGTGAACTAAAAACAATATTTATGCTTTTTAAAGAGTAAATAGTTAAAATTAAATTTGAAAAATAAATTACTAAATATAAGGGAAATGAAGTAGAAAATAAATAATTTTTTTTTTAACAATATCTGAGTATTAAAAATGTAAAACAAATAAAATAATTCCTTTATAATTAAATGAATTTCCAAATAAAAAAATCTTCTTAAAATAACATAATATAAAATTAAAATAAAAAGAGAAAAGTAAGTAAAAAATTAAAAAAGGAAGTTCCCTAAAGTTAAATGATATGTAAGAAAAATATATATTTTTTTTAAACAATAAAACTTAAAAAGTAAATGTGAAAAAGAAACCAAAAATAAAAAAATTTAAAACCCATTTTTAAAAAATTAATGAATTTAAAAAGAATTTTTATATTATTATTTTTAAAGCAATAAAATCTAATAACAAAAAGAAAATTCATAAAAAAAATTTATTAAATAAAAGATTAGGCAACTGTGTCAGTATCTGTGTGGTAAAACTTATAGAAATGTGTTCAGCCCCCATCGCGTTAAAGAATAACAAACACACTCACAAACTCCCACATTTGTACTCGTATTATCAGTTAGTAGGTTTAATAACCGACTTAAAAAAAAAAGAGTAGTTTATTAAGTCATCGAATTTTTTTATGAAATTATGTTACTGGATAACTTTGGACCAGGTGAACAATTTCGGATAATTTTATAAAAAGGTGGTACCTCAAGGGTTACTTTTACAGTAACTTGGTTTAGCTCCATTTATTGGAACATAGGTAAATTAATGTTACTTCTAAATTTGCTAAAGATTAATATACCTCTTTATTTATAAATTTCCAATAAAGCTCTATCTCTTTTTACCCCGAAAATTCACATTAATTTAAGGTAGCGAAGATACCAGATTCTTTTACTTTTTTTAGCCTTTCTCTCCGAAAATATTTGAAGCTTTCATTATTGATCGATAAAATAATGTCTGCATAAAATTTCTTAAAAATTATATAATTTTACTCAGAATGTATACCGTTTTCCAGATCAGATAATTTTTAATAAGATATTTTAATTTTAAGTTTGCATTGCGAATGAAAAAAATTCAAGCTTTAACTTCTGAAATATTACTCATACGCTATGTATGTACCTACAATGATGAACGGGTACGGCCAAGTACGCTATGGCGTATGAGTAACATTATTATTTGCTCGTCGTTCATAAATATATTATTGCACATGTCCATTTGATCATTCACAACTTTATTTATGTATCGATTTTCATCGTTGGTAGCTTTAGATGGTACAAATGAAACAAATTAAAAAATATTTGTTATTTTTCTCCTTGTTAAAGTTTGATTCGATTCAAAGTTAAGTTTACGTGTTTCAGCGTTCTTTTTTTGTCATTTAAAAACTTGACATTTTTCCAACAGTGTAGTACGCTACACACCTTAAGGTCTACTAATCAATTAAGGTAACATATACACAATGTATAAACAATATTTCTGTTGAACTTCCCTCCAGCCTCTTACAACACAATTCACTTGTCCATGTATTCGCCGGAAGCTTATATGGCACATATTTAAACATCTAAATATAAAAAACTTACTTGAACATATAAATATATATGTATTTATTCGCATGTATACCCTTGTACCCATTTCTAGCCTGTGGGCATATTCAAGAATAGCTAAACTAGTTCGGACACGTCAGGCAAGCATTTTAATATAAGCCACAAACTATTACAACAACATGGCTTCTGCACTCAATATCCATCTAATCACACTCTTACTCTTTATGCTTAGGCTACAATCTCCGTACTGTTCCAACTAAGTATATACATATGCAAGTGTTTGGACTAAATAAGGTGGCTGGTATGTCCTTCCATTACACATCATCGAACGAAGTATGCGGTGTGTTGATACTTGCTATGGGTATGTTATTGCACCACAAAATGAAGTCGATGGTGCAACTAAGAGATTTGTCTGGTTGGCCACAATTTCCAAAACTGCTTCACTTACTTTGTCTACTTCCATTACTTCCTTTATTGATATTGTATATAACCCTGCTGCTAGTTCGTGCTGCAATAACTGGTCAATCCCTGCAGCGGATTTTGACTCCACCTCCCGTTTGTTTAACTTTGCGCCCACGCAAGCGTCTACTACTGCTCTGCTGTCCTTCTAAATTCTCGTTACCTCCGCCTTGTTGGCTACTTTCCGCAATTTGATAGTCCAAATATAATTCGTGTTGCAAGAATGTAAATGTTTGCTGAATGTTGTTATTGCTGAGTGAAAGGAAGCGCTTAATTGTATTGTTTGCTTTAGCTGCATTTGCCGGAGGGCGATGGTAAGGAGAAAGTACTGGTGTATTTAAATAGAAAACAGAAAATATAAAAAATAAAATAAAATATAGAAGAAAAGGCTTTGAGATGTTCTCTAGTATATTCAGTATTTATAGGAGAGTGATCTTTGGAATTAAGAATTTCTATGGGGTTGTACCCTGTATAAAAATCATACGATCCACACCGTTCGTAGGATTAAAAAAAATTACGTGTCAAATGAAAGGAATTGGCCTTTAGATAAGCATTAATGATTTTTTAGTAGGGTTGCTATCTGTTCAATTATATTAAATACTAATAAAGGAAGGTATCAGTTCTGCAGAGTCATTCTATATGTGCAAAAATTAAATTTCTTTTTAGTAGGGTTGCCAAATGTATAAAACTTAAAAGACATTCAAAGTTCGCTGGATAACAAAATGAAATACCAAATCTAGGGGAATGACCTTCGCATGTACAAAAACTTTTATTTTCGCTCGATTTTCGAAAACTCGAATCCCGAAAATTACTAAACGGATATTATCTTTAGTACTTAGTACTTAGTTACTTAGTACTTTCTATAGGGTTGCCCTCTGTTTAAAAAATATAATATTTTTTTTTGTAGGGTTGCCACCTTTTTAAGAATTACAAGGTCTTCACCGTTCGTTGGACTAAAAATGAGATATTAAGTGAAAAGATACGGCCTCCGGATGTGCAATAAGCTTCTACTTTTTTAGTGTGGTTGCCACCTTTTAAAAATTACTACCACTTTTTGTTAATGCCATCAGATTTGCACAGTTCATTCGCTTATGAAAAATGAGGCGTCCATTGAAAGAACTTGGTCTACAGATGTGCAACAAAGTTTTATTTTTTCAATAGAGTTGCCGCCTGTCTAAAAAATTATAAGATCCACACCATTCATTGCATTAAAAACATAAGATGTCAAATGAGAAGGCTTGGCCATTAGGTGTGCAATAAGGCTTTATTTTTTTGAAGAGGATTGTCACTTCTTTTCTTCAAATGCGTATATGTATGTATGTACGTACTTATGTACACATTCGCGCATACGGGGCCGGCTGGGTGCTAAATAAAACTTAGTTGAAAACATTTATAGGGTTCCCCTAAAAGGAAAAAATTGCGATGGAAAAATTTAAAATGTTAAAAAAAAAAATTTCTAAATTACATTTTTCATTTTTCAATTTAGAAAAGTTAGGTATCAAGTTTTATAGCTTATTAAATTTTAGCGTAACAAAGTCCAAGCTTCAAGTGGCTAAAAATTCACGTTGATTTTTTTATTTTTATTTTTATTAAAAATAAAAGCAATTGCTTAACCAACGAAAACTTGCATTTTATTAAACTAAAATTTATTAGGCTATAAAACTGTATACCCAAAAATGGTTTTGTTTTAGTGAAAAATTTTTAATCCACATTTAAATTGTTTTCGTTTTAGGGAAATCTTATAATAATTATCAACTAGTTTTTCCGATGTGGCACTCATCAACATGAAAGGAAAAATCTGATTTCTTCAAAATTGCTACTTTCATTAATTTAATAAAAAAATTCGAGGCTAGTTTCTAGAGAATTTTTATTTTCCGGTAGCTTAATATTACGAACAAATTCTCCTTAAATGGTTTCAACAAAAAAAGAAACATTCAAATTGGTTAAGAGTTTGTACTTCGACAGAATTTTGCTATGAAAAAAAGAATTTCTTCCAACTGTGCAAAGCCAAAACAAATATTTACAAATTACACCAACCCGTCAGTCACGACTATTTCTCATTAAAAATGCAGTGCAAAAGCAGTCAAGCCTACTGAAATCACAAAATTATTCGGATTTGCTGTAAACCTCTTCTTAATATCTGTCGGCAGTATACTCGCTTGAAACTATTCAGCTTTTTCTCCCAAAACTTTTCAGTATAGAGCCACAAACGTAATTTCTGTCAAAAGTAGATAACCTCAGTTCCCTCCACAGATAATCTAACTAAATTTATAATCACTATTATTTCTTTTTTATTATAGGTCATGGCAGCTTAACACCACGTACGCCTGCCGGTAAAATCGCCACCATTTTATATGCCCTCATCGGTGTACCGCTCATGTTGATGTGCCTCTCCAGTTTGGGCGCGCTGCTGGCTGAGGCGCTGCAATGTACCTATGCGCGTATCTGCTGTCGACTAGCGACACATCAGCATCATCACCATAAACACAATCGCCATCATCATCATGATGACGACAATACTGAAAAGAAGAAGCATCCACCACAGGATGATCACTATCAACAACAAACACATCAGCTGCATGTGACAGGCGAAAAGAGCGGTCATTTGCTGGAGGCAGCTGCTGGCATTGTGGGTGGGCCTAGCAGCGGTGGTGGTGGTGGTGGTGCTGGTAAATATGCAAGGCGTTGTAGTGCGGACAGCTTGGATGATGGAGTGTTGCTGAAGCGAGGGCGCGCCGACTGTCAGCAAGAGAACGGACGTGAGGTGAGTGAGAAAGTATTTTGGAAAAATATTTGATTTTTATACGTGTAAAAATTGAATGGAGTAAGTTTAAGCCTTATAAACAAGCAAACATACTATCGCCAGAAAAATGTGGGAAAACAGGATATTTTTAATAAAAGTTATCAAAAAATAAAAGAATTGCAAGCGAAAACTAAGACACTTGGCACTCTTTGCTTCTCTATCCGGCCTTTGGAAGGCAGAACACTCAACACATGAAACCTCGCTTGGTATATAAATTAATATCTGGTTAATGGTTGATTTATCAGCACTAGTGTCACAATCTTTCATATAATATATTCGTTAAGACCTTGCATATATTGTTACGAAATCTCACCAGCACCTTACGGCCATTTTGAATATATTAGCCTCTTTTTTACCTTTTTTTTGCAATTCTAACTTCGTCATGATCCGGTAAAGTAACATAGGTACATTCCGGCATCATCTATTTAGGAATCCAAGTCATCACACCCACCTTAGATTCCGACGCTTGTTCCATACAATTGATTGGAGAGGTGTCTCCTCGATAAATTAGGTGGCCATGGATTTTCGAAGGTTGCGTACTTACAGAAATTCGGCCGATTTGCACTATCCAGCATTTCAAACTTCTCACACTCACGTGCCAAGGCGCATCTTTCCTTCCATCATATAAGCAACTTCGGCTTAGATGCCCGGTTGTACTCATAAACTTTCCTTTCTGTGGCAGCGTGCTACTCTTCGTCATAACCCTTTTTTTTAGATTGCTTGCTGAGGACAAGAGTGGGGTGGTGAGGCCGGGAAATCGATGACCCTCCATTGCGATTTCAGCTTTTTGATGTCGCTGCACAGACGTGCGCGACCGCTGTCAGAAAAAACTTTTTCTAATTTAGATGTACATATATATGTAATATGTAGCTCGGACCAAGAGCTAGTACGCACCTCCAACCACTCAGCCACAGCGGACATGAGGCTTTAAAACTGCACATATCAAGTTTTTTTTTGAAAATTAAAAAAAAAATTATTATTATAATTATTTTGGTGAGCATAGTTTATTAAAAAAAAAAAATAACATCTACAATCGATTAAGAATTGGAGGCTCTACGCTACTTTTTCATTTGAGACCACTGTGAGCTTATACGAGCGAATTCCTTCCAGGCAAAGCCAAGCTTTCAAATTAATGCAGCGTTTTGGAGCTGAAAGCAAAGAATTTTGTTTAGATGTTAAACTCTCTTTTTTGAGAATAATTAAATAACAAGTAATTTGTTATGAAAAAATAACTATTTCAATGCTCATATAAAAATTCAGGATCCAACGATCTGAACTAAACCAATTTAGCTTGGGCCACCCTTGAGGTACCATCTTTCCGATAAAATGAGATATTGTCGAAAAAGGTTTACATGGTCCAATTTTATGCCGTAACATTCAAACAGAAATATTCCGGCGATTACATGTATAGCCCCTCCTCTTTTTGAAGTCGGTTAAAAATGTGTTTTTAGAGAAAGCAATTTAAGCAAATTGAATAAATATTTTTTAGCCGATTTTTATTGAAGGTATGTAAGTTTTATCATATCTTTTCAACCGATTACCCGCAAAAACTCCGCTCCGCTCTGCTTCGCTCAGTGTGAACACCAACATATTTGCTTTGCTCTGCCTTGCTTCACTCGGCACCGCTCGCCTTTCGGTGTCGACGCACTCTAAGAACTAATAGAATAAATCTTTAGGTCTTTCTCTTCCGTCGGAGCATTGGCTTAAATTACCCATATACGATATATGTATGTAGAAGTATGCCGTCTTGAAGTAAATTGGCGGCTGTACTTGCCGATGTAGCTCCACTGACGCTGAGTTTGCGTTGCTTTACTTGGAATTTGTGGTAGATATTCCAGCGTTTAATAGTCCCCTTACCATCTCTAATCTATAGAATATAACGAATTGCCGCCTTTGATCTCACAAGGATATCAACCAGCCATGCAAAGATAACTTCCGCATTAAGGGACCGGCCATTCTAAATAAAATTCTTCAAATCGTAGTCTTTAAAAAAATTTAAGGGGTCGTTTTCTAATCTAGGCTTGATGAACATTTTCATTGGATGGGTTTCTTACGTCCGGGTCTGACATTTTGCATGTAACCATATCTTGGAACGTTTTGACTGAAAATGCGTTTTTATATTCTGTCGTATATTTATGTGCACAGGTGAATACATATATTTATGTATGCAATGACCTTTAATGAAAAATTAATAAACTAACTCGTAAACAAAATATCGGCAATGATAAACCTTCGCTTTATTTACAGCGCTTTCCATCGTTTCTTATACTCGTATATATGTATATTAGGGCGGGTCGGAAAACACTATTAAAATAAGAGTGAGAATATAAATTTTTCAAATTGTTACAACGACTTACGTAGATCAAATCCGGAACTTATTTCTTATCATAAAATCACAGAAAAAATAAATTGGACAAATTAAAAGTAAGTAACATCAATACTTTAAGCAATTAATCTTTATTTCCTACTTAATTTTTTAATCTATTAAAATATTGAAGTTACTTACTTTTATTCTGTCCAATTATTATTATTTTTTTAATTTTATGATAGGAAATAAGTTCCAGATTTGATCTACACAAGTCGTTAAAATTTGGACAAGGTGTACATATTCCAATGTTATTTTCAATTTTTCAAGCTCATTCCGCAGGCTGAAGATATTGTCGCAGGGAGCCAGGATTTCTTTTGAAGAATAAGGAATTAAAATACCAACTGTTAAGACATGTATAATTTTCGTATCAAACATTTTGTGTTTTTCGACCCACCCTAATGTATATGCATTGTCTGCACACATATAGAACGAAATTCACTAAATTTTTCCTACTCCTACATCTATCGGTATTTTATATACGCTACTAATTTTTCTCGTCTTGTTTTTATTTTATCACCCACTTTCCCAAACCGATTTCACAGTTTCCCATCAACTTCCTAAACTGTATAGAATCGAATGAATCCATTGAGACCCATTTACATCGACTTAGCAATAATATGGATATTTATATACATATGTACTTGTTTAGTCACACCCTCGCCTATTTTGAATAGAATTTGTTCTATGCTTATGCACACAAACATACTTACATTCATACTTAGATATATCGTACACCGTCTTCAAAAGAGTCCAAACTCAAAATTGTACGTTTGTCAGAAAATGCGAAAAGCGTGGCACATGCTAATCATGTGGGCAAGGGCGACCTTGCCTTTGGTTTTTTAAACAAATTATAGAAAAAATTTGCTCCAGCTTTTGCTGATAGGTAAATAAAAGTTCCGAAATTGCCAAATTTTGAGTTGTGAATCTTTTGAAGATGGTATGCGATATAGTGTTTTTTGCATCCATACATACACAATTTTATACCTTTCATGAGCATGAAATGGTATTATAACTTTGGTCCGATGTTTGTAAGTACCAGAATGAAAAGAGATAGACCCATTAAAATGTATACTTAAATGATCAGAACGTCGAGCTGAGTCGATTTAGCCATGTCCGTCTGTCCGTCTGTCCGTCTGTCTGTCTGTCCGTCTGTTTTTATGCAATCTAGTCTCTCAGTTTTCGAGATATCCGGATAAAATTTGGTAGGTGGGTGTATTTTTATAATGTATTAATCATTTGTCGGAACCGGAAGAATCGGACCACTATAACATATAGCTCCCATACAACTGATTGTTCAGATATGAGATTTTTCGTTATAACTTCTCCATTTATGCAGCTACGAACATGAAATTTTGCAGTACTTGCACCCATTATCAACAGAATACTTACAGTGAAAATTACAAAGATCGGGTCACTATAACCTATAGCTCCCATACAACTGATTGTTCAGATATAAAATTTTGCGTTATAACTCCTCCATTTATATAGCTAGGAACATGAAATTCCGCACTGTTTTCAATAATTATCAACAGAAAACTTACAGTGAAAATTAAAAAGATCGGGTAACTATAACCTATAGCTCCCATACAACTGATTGTTCAGATATGAGATTTTTCGTTATAACTCCCCCATTTATGTAGCTAGGAATATGAAATTTTGCAGTACTTGCACCCATTACCAACAGAATACTTACAGTGAAAATCACAAAGATCGGGTCACTATAACCTATAGCTCCCATACAACTGATTGTTCAGATATAAAATTTTTCGTTATAACTCCTCCATTTATGTAGCTAGGAATATGAAATTTTGCAGTACTTGCACCCATTACCAACAGAATACTTACAGTGAAAATAACAAAGATCGGGTTACTATAACCTGCAGCCCCCATACAACTGATTGTTCAGAAATGAGGCCTTTTATCACAACTCCTCCATTTATGCAGCTAGGAACATGAAATTTCGCACCATTTTCACTCATTATTAACAGAATACTTACAGTGAAAATAACAAGGATCGGATGACTACAACATATATCTTCCATACATCTGATTGTTCAGATATGGGATTTTACTGTAAAACTCCTTTATTTGAACAGCTAAAACCGATAAATTTCGTAAGATATTTTATAAATAATAATACAAAGTCTACTGAGAAAATCGTCAAAATCTATGCTGTATAAGCTTTATCTCCTATACCACTGATTGTTCAGATACCAGTTTTTGCGATATATCTCCTTTATGAAGGAAACTAAACCCAATAAATTGTGTTACCGGTTTACATACCGATCACATAGCAGGGAAAATCACTTAGATTGGTGCTAATATAAGGTATATCTTCCATTCCTCTGATTGTTTAGATGCGATTTTTATATAAGTATGTAACTCCTCTATCGATGTATGCAGATGTATTCAAATGCAGTAATCTGTCAAATTAAAATTTGCAGATGTTCATGAAAGGTATGAAGCCTTCGGCAAAGCCGAAGACAGCGCTGCTCTTACTTGTTTTTACCAAATTCTAATCCACCTAACTCCACATATATTTTTACTGCCGCCTTTCCGCTCGCTTATTATATTTTCATAATTTTGCCTTCGT